GAATAAAAGCACGAATATTGAAGACAGAGCTGGTCTAGAATATAAGCTGTGCATTTTACTAACTACGTGACCTTGGGAGATTACTTATGACTCTTTTCAATTCTATGCCTCATTTTTCTCAGCTATAGAACCTATCTCATAAGTTTGTTTTAAGGATTAGATGGGTTCATACATACATACATAATATTAAAAAAAACTAAACAGTGGGCTGGGACTGTGGCTTAGTGGCAGAGTGCTTGCCTAGCAGGCATGAAGCCCTAGGTTTGATCCCTCAGTATCACATAAACAGAAAAAGCCAGAAGTGGTGCTTTGGCTCAAGTGGTAGAATGCTAGCCTTTAGCAAAAGAAGCTCAGGGACAGTGCTTAGACCCTGAGTTCAAGCCCCAGGACTGACAAAAACACAACAAAACAAAATAGTGTGTGTTAGCTCATTCTGTTCCTTGTTTTTTTAAAGAAGTTTTAGTTTTACCCATATGCATACCATTAATTTATTTTCATTACTCTATGGCATTCCATTGTATGAATACACTAAACAAATTTATCTACTCTTTTGATGGGCATTTTGGTTGTTTTCATTTAGAAATTGCTACTCACCAGGCACTGGTGGCTCACACCTGTAATCCTAGATATTCAGGAGGCTGAAATCTGAGAATCATAGGTTGAAACCAGCCCAGGCAGGAAAGTCCTGTGAGAGACCCTTATTTCCTGTTAACCACCAGAAAATGGGAAGAGGAACTTTGGCTATAAGTGTTTCATCTCTAGCCTTGAGCAAAACAGCTCAGGGATAGTGCCCAAGCCCTGAGTTCAAGCCTTACAACCTACAAAAATAATTGTTACTATGAACAACTTTGTACATGGGAGAACTTCTTTAATTAAATATTTCTATACACACGTTTAAAAATTACAGCTTTTATTTTGCTCAAAGGAACTATAGGTCATCTGTTCTAATATTCTCAAACATATATATGGGAGAACTTCTTTAGTTAGATATTTCCATACACGCATTTAAAAATTACAGCTTTTATTTTCCTCAAAGGAAATATGGGTCATCTATTCTAATATTTTCAAACTCATTAGTGTTTGTGTGGCTTTCTAAACATTTACAGCTGTCTACTAATATCACAAATTTGATTGAATGTCATCACAACAAATAATGGTTATAATGGTTATATTAATTTTCTATAGCCTTTAAATTTTATATACTGATAACTTGCAAATTCAAGGATGGGATCTGACATCCAATCAAATACTGTTTTCATATGTGTGAAAACCTGATTGATCATTATACTTCAAAGGTTTTTTTTAACTCTGTTAAAACTATTGTAACAGATGAATGTCTTTTCAAACTCTGTTTTGATATTTCTTCTTGGGAAATAAGTCTGAATTTGTCAAGTGAATGTTTTATTGGCCTTAACTTCAGGAATGGTAGGCTATAAACCTTAAGAGTGTTTTAACAACTCATAAAGGAATAAAAACCCCAGTTAAAGTCTCTGATGATTGGAATCTTAAATACACTAAGACCCTCATTATGTTGCATCTGCTATTCCTTTTCAAACATAAAATATTCAAACTCTCTATCATATTCTCTTCTTAAAGATGGTAAAAACCTCTGGAAATGTGGCTTAGTGGTAGAGTGCTTGCCTAGCATGCACCAAGGCCTGGGTTCGATTCCTCAGTACTACATAAACAGAAAAAAAAGAAGTAGAGCTGTGGCTCAAGTGGTAGAGTGCTAGACTTGAGCAAAAGAAGTTCAGGGACAATGCCCAGGCCCTGAGTTCAAGTCCCATGACTGGCAAAAAAAGATGGTAAAAAACTTATTTGTTTGCCTATCTATTCATTTAAGTAGGTTGCTATGCTGGGTATCACAGGATAGTCACTCTACCACTGAATCATACCCCTAGTCCATGAAAAAAATATTATTAAAAAATAGGGCCAGGTACCCCTGGCTCACACCTGTAATCCTAGTTAGGAGGCTGAGATTTGAGGATCACTGTTCAAAGACAGCCAAGGTAGGAAAGTCTGTGAGACTCCTATCTCCAATAAACCACCAGAAAACTGGAGTTGGTACTGTGGCTTAAGTGGTAGAACACTCATTTTGAGCTGAAGAGCTGAGGGACAGTGCCCAGGCCCAGTGTTCATGCTCCAAGACCTAAATAAATAAATAAATAAATGGACAAATGACTTTATTTTTTGGTCTGAGTCTGGGACTTGAACTTGGTACCTGCCACTTTTGCTTATTAGCTAGTGCTGTACCAACTAAGCCAAACCTCTAACCCCTGACAAATGACTTATAGCCCTATATATACACACACATATATATATATATATGTTATTAATCAATATGTTTCTCCTTTAAGAATATCTTTTTCAGCCAGGCGCCAGTTGCTCACTCCTGTCATCCTAGCTACTCCGGAGGTCGAGATCTGAGAATCAAACCCAGCTTGGGTAGGAAGTCCATGAGACTCTTTTTTTTTTTTTGTCGGTCGTGGGGCCTGAACTCTGGGCATGGGCACTGTCCCTCAGCTCTTCAGCTCAAGGCTAGCATTCTACCACTTGAGTCACAGCACCACTTCCAGCTTTTCTGCTTATGTGGTGCTGAGGAATCAAACCCAGGGCTTCATGCATGCAAGGAAAGCACTCTACCATTGAGCTACCTACCCAACTCTCCATGAGACTCTTATCTCCAATAAACCACCAGAAAACCGGAAGTGGTGCTGTGGTTCAAGTGGTAGAGCGCTTGCCTTGAGCTGAAGAGCTGAGGGACAGAGCCCAGGCCTAGAGTTCAGGCCCCATGACCACCACCACCACCACCACCAAAAAAGAATATCTTCTTTGCCAGGTAATGTGGCAGTAATGTAAGGTACACACAAGGAATATATTTATCTTTCTTTCTGAATCATTTCAAGGTAAGATGTAGATACAAAGGCCTTTTCAGTGTGTGTGTGTGTGTGTGTGTGTGTGTGTGTGTGTGTGTGTGTGCGCACACGTGCATATGTGTATTTGGTAATTGTTTGTTTTGAGACAGAGTTTTACTATGTAGACCAGGTTCCTCCTGCCTCAGTCGCCCAAGTGCTGGGATTACAGATGTGTTATCACACACAGCTTCTTTTCTGTTTTGAGACAAGGGTCTCATTGTGTTGCCTGTACTGATCTCAAACTCCTGGGCTGAAAGTGATGTTCTTCCTTCAGCTTTCTGAGAAGAGCAGATGAGTCTACAGGCACACTTCATCCAAGTCCCTATTTCTTTTTAGTTATTTATTTTTTATAGTTTTTATAAAGGTGATGTACAGAGGGGTTACAGTTACCTAAGTCAGGTAAAGAGTACATTTCTTTTTGGACAATGTCACCCATTCCCTCACTTTCTCCCGTCCCTGCCAACAAGTGGTACAGTTAATTTCAGTGTCTATTTTGGAGCTAGAAAAGATTATTTAGAATCCTTCTAAATAATCCCAGTTCAAATAAAAATAAGGAATTCAATCTACTAGATCTAATTTAGGTTGTATCAGCAGTTGGAATAATATTCTGTATAGCTGTAAAAAGGAACCTTATCCATTGCCGTCTATTTTTTGCAGATAAAATGTGCCCTCTCAATTCTCAGTGTGGTTTCTCCAGCCCTCTTGTGCTTGACAAATATCCACGTACTCTCTATTCACACCTCTTAATCTTTCCACAGTAGTTCTAACATTAATTTTTGTGTCTAACATTAGAAGTGCTATAAGCATATAACAGTAAACTTGCTACCAATGATAGACAGTAAATGCTGACATTAGTTTCTAGATTTTAGCTTATGTTGGTAGCTACTTAGTAACAAATACTGTGCTTAAATTAGGGTAGTGACTTTCTTGTTATTCAGTGTTCCTTTTATTAATTAATATTACATTGGCCTTATAAGTCAAGGCGTGTCAGTAAAGTTTTACTGGAGGTTTTGGGCTATGTTAATTTTTTTTTTTTTGGTCAGTCATGGTGCTTGAACTCTGGACCTGGGCACTGTCCCTCAGCTTTTCAGATCAAGGCAAATGATCTACTACTTGAGCCACAGCACCACTTTCAGTTTTCTGGTGGTTAATTGGAGATGAGTCTCATGGACTTTACTGCCCAGGCTGGCTTTGATCCGCGATCCTCAGATCTCGCCTTCTGAAGAGCTAGGATTACAGGCATGAGCCACGCTGCCCAGGTTTGGGCCATGCTAATTTAACCAAATCTTTTCCAGCATTCTGGAGAAAGCCCAAACATGTTTCTTTTGGGGGGTAGGGAGAGTTTATTATTCTGCTAACAACAATGCCTTGATTCCCTCAAATGATTACTTTTTATGAAAAAAAAAAACAGTATGTAGCTACAGTTCCACAAAAGAAACATGCAAAATGAAGACTGATGTAGCTGGGTTCCAGTGGCACACATCTATAATCCCAATTACTCAGGAGGATGAGATCTGAGGCATGGCTAGAAGCCACCTTGGGCAGACAAATGCAAGAGACACATCCAATTAACTAGCAAAAAACCAGACATGGAAGTATAATTCAAGTGGTAGATCATAAAAAGCTGACTGTGTATGCAAGGCCCTGAGTTCAAGCCTCAGTACATATGCATGCGAGTGCACATACACACAAAGATGACGGGCAGAACAGCCACTACTGCTGCAGGGTTCCAGCTCTTCTGTGGGGACAGCACAAGTCAGACTAGTGGTTGAACCTGGAGGTGCCAAAGAAGCTAGTGGTGGGGCCCAGAACAACCACCATGAGACTCCCCAGGGCACATGCAATCTGTGGGGACAGCTCCCCTCAAGTGTTATCTCCAGCAGAGACAACGGGGACGTTCCCCAAGACTTTTCTCATTATTTATATGTTAATATATTTGTAAACTCATGTACAGCTTTTTTGGAGGGGGGAGAGGGGGTTTAGAAACTAGAAATAGAATCATTTGCTGTAACGTTCAAATGGCAAATGGTCAGCCACACGTCTAGAAACTGTTATGTAGCTGTTGCCTTCCTTATATGGTGGTAGCTGCCCCAGAGAAGTGCCATCCCAAGGAATAAAAGCTGTGGCTGCATCTTGCTCTTACTTGCATGAGATTTCTTTGAAAAGATGCTGCGGCCTCACTGATGAAGGTGTCCTTGCACTTGCGCTCAACTGCTGGCTGCTGAAGATCATTGACTTAGATGGATGCTTGAGTATTACTGACATGGCCTTACATGCTCTAGGACAAAACTGTTCCTTTTTGCAATGCGTTGACTTTTCTGCCAGCCAGGTCTCTGAGAGTGGTGTGCTTGTGTTGGTTAGTGGACCATGTGTTAAGAAGGTAGAGGAGATTCACATGGGGCACTGTGTTAATCTGACAGATGATGCTGTGGAAGCTGTTCTTACCTACTGCCCCCAGATTTGCATATTGTGCTTCCATGGATGCCCCCTGATAACAGATCATTCACGAGAAGTCTTGGACCAGTTAGTAGGCCCAAACAAACTAAAGCAAGTATTGTGGACTGTGTACTGAGGTTATGGAAATTTGTCAAACAATGAAAGCTGGACTCCGTTTTCCAGATAGGGTCAATAGATATCTGCTGCCCACTTAATTTAGCATTACTTCATGACTATTGTGTTATTTAAGCTATACTCTCAGAGAGTAGACTAAATCCCCATGATAGTAGTTTGTGCTGTAAAGCTATTCAGATTCCTAAACATGTTACTACGACTCTGAGTCTGTATTTGTTTGATAAGTATTTATTTATAAAATGCTCATCCTGATATGAACTCAGGCTGAGAAAGAGACTGTTTTGTGAAGTAAAAAAGTTTCAAATGATGTTTTCCCTTGAAATGCCCACCTCTGTAGGTATTAGAGCTGTTCTGAGATATTAACTGGTCCAAATAAACCTTAGAACTCTTTGAAGTAAAGGTCTTTCTAAAAACAAAAAAAAAAAAAAAAAAGAAAAGAAACTGTCATGTAGCTAAGCTTCTGTCCTGGGCATAGGAGCCCCAAGAAGTGGCCTGTATAGTTGTGTCTGAAAGGGCAGAGTAAAGGGGAGGAATCATAAAAAAAAAAATGTAGTCATAGATGTATATGGATTTAATGTGACATGTCTCCTGAACATATTGAAAAAAATACTACTTTAGAACAAGATCATCACAGTAATTAACTTGACAGATCTGCCTGTGCCCTGATAAGTCTTTTGTTGTTTATTAAAGATAGGTCCTCAAAAATTAATGCACATATCGATAATCTTTCTACATGAGCAACCATGATATTTTTTTGTCAGTTGTGGGGCTTGAACTCTGGGCGTAGGCACTGTCCCTCAGCTCTGTAGCTCAAGGCAAGTGCTCTACCACTTGAGCCACAGTGCCACTTCCAGCTTTTTCTGTTTATGTGGTGCTGAGAAATCAAACCTGGGGCTTCATGCATGCGAGGCAAGCACTCTACCACTAAGCCACCTTCCCAGCCTAACCATGACATTTTTTTTTGCCAGTCCTGGGGCTTGAACTCAGGGCCTGGGCTTTTTCCCTGAGCCTCTATGTGCTCTACCACTTGAGCCACAACACCACTTGTGGTACTGAGGAATTAAACCTGGAGCTTCGTGAATGCTAGACAAGTACTCTACCACTGAGCCACATCCCCAGCCCAACCATGACATTTTAAACTGCTTCATACAGACAGCTATGACCAGTGCTAGCATTAAGTTGTGAAAGAATTTAGTTCAAGCCTTGAGTTCAAGCCCCATTACTGGTACACAAGAGTTAGCTATTGATAGGAACCAATTATTGTGGCTAGTATTTCTCAAATGACTTAGGTAGAAATTAAGATTTTTTTTCTTGAAGTATTCAGACATCATAAGTTTAAGATATACTTCTTGGAGACCAGTAGAGTAAAACACACTCTACTGTTTTATGTGAAAAGGAAAAATGGAATGCATTACTAAACAAGAACAAAACAGAGATGTTCACTGCAATTCTCATTTTTTTTAAGTGCTGAGGATGGAACCTAGGTCCTTGTACTGTTAGGCAAATGCCCCATCACTGAGCTCCACGCCAAGCTCCATAAATTCCATTTGTTTCAAGCTAAAAGTATATATACCCTATTTAAACATTTGTCAGGTGATAGGCAGGGGGTTTCCTTCCCCCAGCATAAAGACTAGATGCCAAATCCTAGCATCCACCATGTGGCCAATATGGCACTGGCCAGACCTGACCTCCTTACTTCACATTGACTACTATTTCACTGCCACTGCTTAATTTAGGTCTCATCATCTCTCAGGAGATACATTTCTAATGCATCCCCCAGAAACATAACCATAAAATGTCCATGTAAACATTTCATTTCCCTCTATTGTTTACAGGATACCACACTCTTTCCTCTGCACTGTATAGTACACAAGGCCCTGGTGAAGGAGTTCCAGAACAAACTCCCCTAGTTCTTTTAATAGTACTCCCAGCTTTCCACAACCTAAACATTAGGCCAATGAACCACAGTTCTTGGAATTCCAGGAGAGGCACTTTCTGGTTTGACTTTCGCTGCCTGTTCATTCCACTTCCTGGGTAAAGTGCTTTATCTTTTCTTTGTCTAATGAATAGGAATGTCCTTTCAACTTCTATCTTCCTTTTGGGACTCCTATCCTCATTCTTTTTTTGTGTGTACAGTATATCGTCAATCTTCTATAATAGCACTGCTAACACTTGATTTTACTTCTTTGATCTGTACTGTGTTGTCCTAATAGATTGCAATCTCTCTGAGGTCAAGGACAATACATTATTCACCTGTGTATCAACAGCTTCAACATTATTGTGCATCTGGCCCACAGAGAACCTTCTGGCAATATTGTTGAATGGAAAACAATTGTAATCAGAATCTTGTAGATAGCCACTGTCCAAACAGAAACTGTCAGCCACATATATATTTAAGTTGTACTTAATTAAAATTGGATAAAAATTAAAAAATCTCAGTAACACTATATTACAAATGGTCAATAGCTACATATGACTACCATACCATTGCAAAAGGTTCTAATAATGATATAATTATTTCTTCTATTAGTTCAATGCAAATAACATTTTTTACCATATGCTAACATTTGTCTTAGACAAATTTGTCTTGGGCAAAATATGATTGATATGACTATTAGTATTTTTGAACAAGTCATTAAAAATCTACTCAGGAGACTTCTAGAATGGGATATTTTATAGGGATAGCAGGGAAGGCTTTATGGAGATAGTCTTATTTAAATTGTTCATTTCAGGATGGGGAGCATTTGAGTGGGGAAAATCTTGGAAAAGGAGAGAAAATAGCATAAGCAAATACACAGAGGTGGGGAAGTGCTTGGAAAATATCAAGTAATTTATTTTCTCAAAATATACGTTACAGGGGCTGGGAAGGTGGCTCAGTGGTAGAGCACTTGCCTTGCATGCTCGAGGCGCTGGGTTCGATTCCTCAGCACCACATAAGAAAAAAGCTGGAAGTGGTGCTGGGGCTCAAGTGGTAGAGTGCTAGCCTTGAGCTGAAGAGCTGAGGGACAGCGCCCGGGCCCAGAGTTCAGGGGGTTTAAGTAGTGGCAGTGAAATAGTAGTCAATGTGAAGTAAGGAGGTCAGGTCTGGCCAGTGCCATATTGGCCACATGGTGGATGCTAGGATTTGGCATCTAGTCTTTATGCTGGGGGAAGGAAACCCCACGACCAGACCCCCCCCCCCAAAAAAAATATATATATGTTACATAGCTGTGGATGTGGCTCTACCACTTGAGCTACAGCGCCACTTCCGGTTTTCTGGTGGTTTATTGGAGATAGGAGTCTCACGGTCTCTCCTGCCGGGATGGCTTTGAACCGCGATCCTCAGATCTCAGCCTCCTGAGTAGCTAGGATTACAGGCGTGAGCCACCAGGGCCCGGCCTGAAAATTTTGAAATTTTTTATGACTCACAATAAGCAGAAAATATACACAAAATTTTCATGTGCCCTTCAGTAGTTTTGTTTAATGACAATAGTAATTATAATTGTAGTATGTTAGCACATGCAGGAAATTGACATTGATTTAATATTTATCAACTCATGTAGAGGTCTCACTTGAATTTCACCAACTTTTTCATGAATTTAAATGTGTGTGTGTGTATATACATATATATATATATATATATATATATGCAGTTTATGAACTTTCACTCAATCTGTAGATTTGAGCGATTAACATAATCAGGGTTTAAACATCATAAAGAAACTTCTTAGCCTGGTACTAATGGCTCATAGCTATCATCCAAGCTACTCAGAAAGCTGATATCTGAGGATCATGGTCCAAAGACAGCCCAGGCAGCAAAGCCACAGTGAGACTCTTTATCTCCAAGTAACCAATAAAAAGCCAGAAGTGGAGTTAAGGCGCAAGTGGTAGAGACTAGACTTGAGCAAAAAAGCTCAAGGATAGTGTCTAGGTCTTCAGTTCAAGCTCCATTACACACACACACACACACACACACACACACACACACACACACACACACACACAAAACAAACAAAAAAAACTACTTCATGGTGGATATGTGGCTCAAGTATTAGAGCAGTTGCCTAGAAAGTACAAGGCAGTATGTTCAAATTCCCCAAAACTTCAAAGTGATCACCTCTATGCAAACCCCCACAAGTATGTTGGACCTTAACAAACATACTTTTTCTGCAACTGTAAACTATATCAACCACTGATTTGTTCCCCAGAACTATGATTTTGTTAGTTTGAGAATATTTTATCATAGGATCATAGTGTGTAACTAGTTCTTTCATATTGGCTCTACCCCATACCTGGGATTGATCTCAGTGATTTCTTTGCATTTGCTAAGCCAAAGTGCTCCTCATGTATCAATAGTTCCTTCTTGTTGCTGAGTACTATTTTATTGAAAGAATGTTGATAGTCATCTGGCTTGTTTAATTTTGGCTACCAAAAATAAAGCTGCTGCAAGTTTTTGTATATAGTTTTCTGTATAAACATGTTTTTATATTATTAGGATAAATACTCAGGAATAAGCTTTCTGGGTCATTTACTAAGTATATATTTATAAAAAGTGATAAATTATTTTCTAGAATAAGCTAAATAAACCTTAAATGGACATAACAATTGTAAAAAAATAAATGTATAAAGTGAAAAGTAAAATTTCAAGCTATGGAATTGCTTCCTTACTGAAAGATAAATTTTGTTACATGTCCTGTATGTTATTCAAGAATGTTTTATGCATATGTAAATATACCCATTCAAGATGGGGTCCCACTATACAAGTTATTTACAACTTATCAGTAAATATACACACATATTTTTTCATACCTTCATTTTTTTTGTGCTGGGGATCAAACCCAGGCACATGGTAAGCAAATGTTCTAGTATTGGATTATACCCTGAACCTGTATGGATGTGTGTGTGTGTGTGTGTGTGTGTGTGTGTGTGTGTGTGTGTGTGTTTCAGTCTCTTAAGTGTGGAGATTATAGACTACACTACTCCAATGACTACCATTGTCAGTTTCTTTTACAAAGCTATAATGAAGTCCTCTCATTTTATACTTGTGCAATTTGAGCATACCTATATAATAGATTCCTAGGAGTGGCCAATTTTTTGTTGATTCTATTTTTTTTCAATTTTTTGTTTAAAAAAACTATACACATGGTATATGAGAGTTGTTAGTTCTTCATCAATACTGAATCTGGTAAAAAA